TAAATAAACAAATAAATAAATAAATAAATAAACAAACAAACAAACAAACATTAAAAAAAATCAACAAGGAAACAATGGCTTTGAATGACACACTGGACCAGATGGACTTAACAGATATATTCAGAACATTTCATCCTAAAGAAGCAGAGTATACATTCTTCTCCAGTGCACATGGAATGTTCTCCAGAATAGACCACATACTGGGACACAAATCAGCCCTCAGCAAGTACAAAAAATCAAGATCATACCATGCATATTTTCAGACCACGATGCTATGAAACTTGAAATCAGCCACAGGAAAAAATTTGGAAAGGTAACAAATACTCGTAGACTAAAGAACATCCTACTAAGGAATGAATGGCTAACCAAGTAGCTGAAGAGGAAGTTAAAAAGTATATGGAAGCCAATGAAAATGGTAACACCACAGCCAAACCTCTGGGATGCAGCAAAGACAGTCATAAGAGGGAAGTATATAGCAATCCAGGCCTTCCTAAAGAAGGAAAAAAGGTCTTAGATGCACCTTACACCTTAAGGAGCTGGAAAAAGAACAGCAAATAAAACCTAAAACCAGCAGAAGACAAGAAATAATAAAGATGAGAGCAGAAATTAATGCTATCAAAACAAAAAAAAAAGTAGAACAGGTCAATGAAACCAGAAGCTGGTTCTTTGAAAGAATTAAGAAAATTGATAAGCCACTAGCCAGTTTGAACAAAAAGAAAAAGGAAAGGACCCAAATAAATAAAATCAAGAATGAAAGAGGAGAGATCATAACCAACACAACAGAAATAAAAACTATAATAGAATATTATGTGCAATTATATGCCAATAAAATGGGCATTCTGAAAGAAATGGAAAAATTCCTAGAAACATATACACTACCAAAACTGAAACAGAAAGAAATAGAAAATTTGAACAGACCCATAACCAGTAAATATATGGAATTAGTAATAAAAAATCTGCCAAAAAACAAGATTCCAGGGCCAGATGGCTTTCCAGGGGAATTCTACCAAACATTTAAGAAAGAGTTAACACCTATTCTCTTGAAGCTGTTCTAAAAAATAGAAATGGAAAGAGAACTTCCAAACTCTTTCTATGAGGCCAGCATTACCTTGATTCCAAAACCAGACAGAGACCCCACTAAAAAGGAGAACCATAGACCAATTTCCCTGATGAACATGGATGCAAAAATCCTCAACAAGATATTAGCCAACTGGATCCAACAACACATTAAAAAAAACTATTCACCACGACCACGTGGGATTTATACCTGTGATGCAGGGCTGGTTCAATATCTGCAAAATAATTAACATGATTCATCACATCAATAAAAGAAAGGACAAGAGCCATATGATCCTCTCAATAGGTGCAGAGAAAGCATTTGACAAAATACAGCATCCTTTCTTGATAAAAACCCTCAAGATAGTAGGGATAGAAGGATCATACCTCGAGATCACAAAAGCCATATACGAAAGAACAACTGATAATATCATCCTCAATGGGGAAAAACTGAGAGCTTTCCCCCTAAGGTCAGGAACAAGACAGGGATGTCATTCTAACCAGTGTTATTCAAAATAGTATTGGAAGTCTTAGCCTGTGCAATCAGACAACACAAAGAAATAAAAGGCATCCAAATCGTCCAGGAGGAGGTCAAACTTTCACTTTTCACAGATGACATGATACTCTATATGGAAAACCCAAAAGATTCCACCAAAAAACTGCTAGAACTGATTCATGAATTCAGCAAAGTTGCAGGATATCAAGTCAATGCACAGAAATCGGTTGCATTCCCATTCACCAACAATGAAGCAACAGAAAAATCAAGGAATCAAATCCATTTACAATTGCACCAAGAACCATAAAATACCTTGGAATAAATCTAAGCAAAGAGGTGAAAAACCTATATGCTGAAAACTATAGAAAGCTTATGAAAGAAATTGAAGAAGACACAAAAAATGGAAAAATATTCCATGCTCCTGGATAGGAAGAATAAATATTGTTAAAATGTCGATACTACCCAAAGCAATCTACATATTCAATGCAATCCTTACCAAAATAACACCAGCATTTTTCACAGAGCTAGAACAAATAATTCTAAAATTTGTATGGAACCAGAAAAGACCCCAAATAGCCAAAGCAATCTTGAAAAAGAAAACCAAAGCAGGAGGCATCACAATCCCAGACTTCAGGCTGTACTACAAAACTATAATCATGAAGGCAGTATGGTACTTGCAGAAGAACAGACACTCAGATCAATGGAACAGAATAGAGAACCCAGAAATAGACCCACAAATGCATGGCCAACTAATCTTAGACAAAGCAAGAAAGAATATCCAATGGAATAAAAACAGTCTTCAGCCTGTGGTACTGGGAAAACTGGACAGCAACATGCAGAAGAATGAACCTGGACCACTTTCTTACACCATACACAAAAATAAAATGGATGAAAGACTTAAGACAGGAAGCCATCAAAATCCTCTAGGAGAAAGCAGGCAAAAACCTCTTTGATCTTGGCCACAGCAACTTCTTACTCAACACGTCTCTGGAGGCAAGGGAAACAAAAACAAGAATGAACTACTGGGACCCCATCAAAATAAAAAGCTTCTGCACAGTGAAGGAAACAATCAGCAAAACTAAACGGCAACCGACAGAATGGGAGAAGATATTTGCAAATGACATATCAGATAAAGGTTTAGTATCCAAAATCTATAAAGAACTTATCAAACTCAACACCCAAAACACAAATAATCCAGTGAAGAAATGGGCAAAAGACATGAATAGACACTTCTCCAAAGAAGACATCCAGATGGCCAACCGACACATGAAAAAAATGCTCAACTCACTCATCATCAGAGAAATACAAATCAAAACCACAATGAGATACCACCTTACACCTGTCAAAATGGCTAAAATGAACAACTCAGGCAACAACAGATTTTGGCGAGGATGCGGAGAGAGGAGCTCTTTGGCACTGATGGTGGGAATGCAAACTGGTGCAGCCACTCTGGAAAACAGTATGGAGATTCCTCAAAAAATTAAAACTAGAACTACCCTATGACCGAGAAATTGCACTACTAGGTATTTATCCAAGGGATACAGGTGTGCTGTTTCAAAGGGGTACATGCACCCAAATGTTCATAGCAGCACTATCAACAATAGCCAAAGAATGGAAAGAGGCCAAATGTCCCTCGATGGATGAAGGGATAGAGTAGATGTGGTATATATACACAATGGAGTATTACTTGGCAATCAAAAAGAATAAAATCTTGCCATTTGCAACTATGTGGATGGAACTGGAGGGTGTTATGCAAGCAAAATCAGTCAGAGAAAGACAAATATGACTTCACTCATATGAGGACTTTAAGAGACAAAACAGATGAACATAAGGGAAGGAAAACAAAAATAATATAAAAATAGGGAGGGGGACAAAACAGAAGAGACTCTTAAATATGGAGAACAAACAGAGGGTTACTGGAGGGGTTGTGGGGGGGGATGGGCTAAATGGGTAAGAGGCACAGATTCAAGGAATCTACCCTTGAAATCATTGTTGCACTATATGCTAACTAACTTGGATGTAAATTTTTTTAAAAAGAGTAAGTATAGTCTTGGGGTGCCTGGGTGGCTCAGTCAGTTAAAGCATCCGACTCTGGCTCAGGTCATGATCTCACAGTTCATGAGTTGAAGCCCTGCATTGGGCTCTGTGCTGACATGTCAGAGCCTGGAACCTGCTTCAGATTCTGTGTCTTCTCTCTCTGCCCCTCCCTGCTCTCACTCTGCCTCTCTGTCTCAAAAATAAATAAGCAATAAGAAAAATTTAAAAAGATTAAGTATAGTCTTTAAAGATGGTTTGCGTTTCAAATCCCTTTTTATTTTTTAGTTGTATGATCTTGGGTGAGATTTTAATCTCTTTGGGCTTTAGTTTCCTCATTAGAAAATGGGCAGAGATTGGCAAATGACAGTGCTGAGGCTAAGTCAGGCCTACCTTCTGTTTTTGTAAAAAAAAAAAAAAAAAAATGTTTCGTAAAATAGTCTTTTTTTTATTGGAACCATAACTACCAATGTCTGAGGGCTTAAGAAGAGAGATGTCCCAACTCAGATAGATAGAGCAAATTCACTCTTCCTCCATAAAAATTTAATTTAGGCTCTCCATTGATTGGATGATGCCCACCCTCATTGGTTAGGGTGATCTTCTTTGCTCAGTTTACTGATTCAAATGGTAATATATACCTGAAACACCCTCACAGACACACCCAGGAATAATGTTTTACCAGTTATCTGGGCATTTTCCTTAGCTCAGTTGAGTTAACACAAAAAAATTAAGCATCTCACCTACCCAAAGGATAAGGGCCATGGAATATTCATCTACCAACTCTGATCCATCATGGATCTGAGGACTGTTTGTGTGGTATTTATTCCTCAGCACTTCTGGCCTGCCCCATCCGTGGGGTAAGCATGGGCCAGTGAGAGCTCCCCACAATGTGTTGCCCGTAGGCAAAATGTCATAGGTGTTAGGATTGAAAAATGCAGGGGGCATCTGGGTGGCTCAGTCGGTTAAGCCTCCGACTTCGGTTCAGGTCACAATCTCGCAGTTCATGGGTTTGAGCCCATGTCGGGCTCTGTGCTGACAGCTCAGAGCCTGAAGCCTGTTTCAGATTCTGTGTCTCCCTCTCTCTGCCCCTCTCCCACTCATGCTCTGTCTGTCTTTCTCTCTCTCGAAAGCAAATAAACATTAAATAAAAAGAAAATGCAGGTCAACATCCAGGAAATGTCAACTGCTGAGGATCGGATCAGGTGGAGACAACACTCCTAACTCTTGTCTCCCCTGCAGGTGCTGTGTTCCATCATCGCTGGTGTGCTGCACTACCTCTACCTGGCCTCCTTCACCTGGATGCTCCTTGAAGGGCTACAGCTTTTCCTAACCGTCAGAAACCTCAAGGTGGCCAATTACACCAGTGCAGGCAAATTCAAGAAGAGGTTCATGTGCCCTTTTGGCTATGGGGTTCCAGCTCTGATTGTGGCTGTGTCTGCAATAGTAGCACCCCAAAATTATGGAACATATGATCGGTAAGAATGATGTGTTCCTTTAGGGTAGAAGTTGTGTCCATGGCTGATGCGAGATCTGAAATCAAAAAACATTTCAGCACATTTGCTGTTGTGAGTTATACATCAAACCAGTCTTTTTTTTTTTTTTTTTTTTTTTTTTTTTTTTTTTTTTTTTTTTTTTTTTTTTTTTTTTTTTTGAGCCAGAATTCTATTTTCTCTTCAAAATTCCTAGAGGAATGGTTCTCAGCATCTTTGGGGTTGGATCCTCTTAAGAACTTTGGTAAGACCTAGAGCCTATTTCCCCAAATAGGGAAATGTACCTTTCAGACAAATGTACTTACACATAAAATTTTGAATTCAGTTTAGGAAATTAGGGAGGAAAAAAAAAGCACATTTGGGAAACTCAGGAACATAAAAGCCCACCTGTGGTCTCTATGTTCTGTAGGATTCTGAAAGAGTAGGTTGAATAGGTTGAGGTTAATCCCCCAAATGTAAAGAGTAACAACGATAGCAATAAATCTAGAGGTCCTGTTCTGTATCAGAGATAACACAGTATTTTCTTATTCTCCCCATGACCCTGTGGAATCAGCACTGTTTGTTACTTCATACACAGGACACCTGGTACTTAGTCCATCTAAGAAACTTTCTCAAGGTCACAGCTAAAAAGAGAGTAAGTTCAGAATTCCCAAGGCAGCATTTTTAGCCTGACTAAAGAAGTTTAGAAAGCTCCATAAAGTTAGTTGAAGAAGCTGGTATATTGGCAATGGGGCTTAGGTTAGGAAGTAGGTATACATGTACTAAGGTCTCATGTACAAAGGTGTCCCTCTTGAAAAAAACAAGCCCCATCTCCAGCTTGAACCATACATCCTGCCAGAATGATTCTGGAGATACAGTGGCAGGGTAGATCAGGGGTTGGTAAACTTTATAAAAGGCCAAATTGTACCTGTTTTTGTCTCTACGGGTCGTATGGTCTTTGTGGCAATTACCCAGTGTTGTCCTTGTAGTGAGAGAGAAGCCAAGTCATAGACCATATGTTAATGGATGAGTGTGGCTGTGTTTCAATAAAACTTTATAAAAACATGGGGTGAACTGGATTTGCCCTGTGGGCTATTGTTTACAACCCTTAGAATAGAACTTAAGTGTGGGAGCTTTTCTGCCCAGTCAGTGTTGGCAATTGCTTGTTAAATTGACCAGTTTTATGCTGTGAGGTCTCTGTTTAGAATAAATTATGCTAACTTTGCCAAAATAAGCCATGACATAATAAAAGGTATTTGGGCAGCTGAGTATTTGGTATATGGAACATATTTAATTTGTGTTGGTAATTTTTATGGCTGTAGCTGTTACTATTTTTACTCTCTTTCTTATAGCAATCATTATTAGGGTACTGTTTATTGAGCCTTCCCTCTTTGCCAGGAACTGTACTCAAATTTGTATACACATTATCTCATTTTAATCTTTCCTACAAGATCTATATTAGGAAAACTGCAAAATCCTGATGAAAGAAATAAAAGAAGTTTCAAATAAACGGAGAGATAGTCCACGTTCATGGATAGGAAAACTCAATATTGTCAAGAAGTCAGTCTGTCAGTTCTTCCCAACTTGATCTGTAGATTGAATGCATTCTCAACCACATTCTCAGAAAATTATTTTGTAGATATTGATACAATTATTCTAATGTTTGTACAGAGAAGAAAAAGACCCTAAATAGCTAACACAATATTGAAGGAGAACAAAGTCATAGGAGCGACCCTACCTGACTTCAAGACTTTGCATATAACCACAGTAATTATTTAATCTTTTAATCCTTCTGTTTGCCCCCACTCTACACTTGGGGAAACTGAGGCTTAGAGCACACGGCTTATGTCAGATGAGGACCCATGTCTGATTCCATCTAAAGTCCAGGCTCTGAATTAAATGATTCCTGGCACTGGTTGGATCTTGCTATAGGAGTCTGAATTCAAGACCTTTGCCTTCTGAGAAATAGCTAATGCGCACCTTTCTCTCAACAGCTGCTGGCTCAAGCATGATAAAGCGTTCATCTGGAGTTTTATGGGACCAGTGGCAGTCATTATCTTGGTGGGTGACTAGTGATAGTTATTGATGTGCCTGCCCTGGGTTTGCCAAGCATTGTGTGTTTCTTTCTGTTAAAGCAGAAGTGAGGTGAAGATAAGGAAAATATAGTCTAATGTGATTTACCCCTCTTCCTGAAAACACAGTCTCCATATCTCTTTCCCAGACTCCCTCCTGGTTCACTTGTTACTCTGATGTAATATAACCCTCTGCTGGAGATTCTTCTAAAAATCCCACATTTGTTCATTCAACAACTATTTAGTGGGGCATCTGTGTGGTTCAGTCGGTTAAACATCCAACTTCGCTCAGGTCATGATCTCGTAGTTTGTGAGTTTGAGCCCCGCATCGGGCTCTGTGCTGACAGCTCAGAGCCTGGAACCTGATTCAGATTCTGTTTCTCCCTCTCTCTATGGCCTTCCCCCACTCACACTCTCTTTCCCTCTCTTTAAAAAAATAAGTAAACATTTTAAAAAATTTTTAACAAATATTCAGCAAATATCTACTCTTCATAGAGTGATATGTTTTCCTGTTTGTCAGCAACTTCCTGATCACATCATTGTCCTGCTATAGCTATCAAGAGTACTCTTTCACTTTCTAGGTGTCTTGGTTTGAATGATAAATTATATAGTCACCCTAATCAAGCACCAAGTGCCACAAGTTCATATATACACAATGTGCTGTATAAAAGACCAGACCATAGCATAGCATCCAACGAGGCCTGTATCTTTTGGGGAAAGATTCTTAGGTCCAACTCAAATTAGGTTGCATGACCTGGACTCCAGAGAAAATTCCAAGTCAACTTTTAGTTCTGTGTCCACAGATAAACTTGGTGCTCTACTTTCAAATCCTGTGGATTTTGAGAAGTAAAGTTTCCTCCCTCAACAAAGAAGTTTCTACCATTCAGGATACCAGGTAAGAAGACCCTAGAATCCGTGGTATCCACAGATTTTTTCCTACAGGACTACTTTTATTTCTGACTGGGAATGAAAAACCCATATAAAAATCTAATATAAAATATCCTGGTACTGGATAAAGGGTAAGTGGGGTACAATTTCTAGAAGTAAAAACTATAGTTTTCAGGTAGCTTAATGTACTTCTTGATCTCTTTCCTCAACAAATATTCATTGGGTGCTCCTGTGTGTAGCATACTGTTCATATGAAATTCATGCCAAGAGTATCAATATTATCATCTCTCCCCAACCTCGTGAGTCCACCCACTTCTGGGGGCTCCATTATCCTTGGGTGTAGACACTCAGTTCTTACTGGCACTGATCTAAATAACTGGAAATAATAAGAACAACTAATATTAACTAGGAACTTGATAGATGATGGGAATTTACCAATATTGTTTCACTGAATGCCTATAACTCCAATCTATGAGGTGGGCATGACTACTATCCCCCATTGATATGAGGAGCCGGTACTCATGTTACCCAAAAGTGGGCAAGAGTCAGGTGCATTGGTGAGTCAGATGAACAAAACTTAAGGAGCATCTTTCCAACTTCAGACCCTGGCTTTGATCTCCTCTACTTATCATACCAACCAACATCTCCTAGCCTTGGTGTTTTCTGCCCTAGAGGGTCAGAGTGTCCCCCTTCTTAGTGTTTCCTCATCCTTCTACACATGTATGGATGAGTGTAGGCTCACACCATGTGCATGCACACACTCACACACGTCAGCTGTCCCAGACAGTTGCCATCAACAACGCTTCTGTTTGACAAAACACAATTTTCTTGAAGAAGCCCAACAGCATGCTATGATCTGAAGTCATGATATCATCATCAGTATACATTTTCAGTACAACTTTCTAGAAGGCACTTTCCACATATCTTCCAATAGGTTTAGATAAATCATTTCCAAGAATAGGAGAAAGCATTATTCTCAGAAGCAGTGATTGAAAGCATGGGTTCTGCCTCATCTTCGAGTTGTATGACTTTGCATGAGTCACTTAAGCACATGAGGTGATGCGAAGTTTAAATCAGGTAATGCGTGCAAAGCATTTAGCACAGTGCCCAACATATAATGATCAGTGATAGTTATTATTACTCCTGTTCCTTCCCAGAGTCATGACATTTAAAGCCATTGCTCAGCTATTTATACTGGGCTGTTCTTGGGGCCTTGGCTATTTTATGGTTGAAGAGTTCGGGAAGGTGATCGGATCAGTCATTGCCTACACATTCACCATCATCAATGTCCTGCAGGGGGTTTTGCTCTTTGTGGTACACTGTCTCCTTAATCGCCAGGTAAGGCTAATTGTTTTATTTATCACCAGCTGAGTCCCACCATCTTATTGAATGGCTATTCACATTCTCACCCTTTTCTGATCTTTTATATTTGTATCTTGTGGTTGCCTTGATTCTGGGAAAAAGGTTTAGGTGCTGCTTGGGTATGCTGTGTGTTCTGGGTGCATCTAACTAAATTTCACATTCCAATCTCTATCTTAAGAGTGTGCTTTTGTCAGCTGGAGATGACAGGACAAAATATCATAGATCATGTGGCTTGGACAACAGAAATATCTCTTATAATTCTGGAGGCTGGAAATCTGAGGTCAGGGTGACTGTGCAGTTGGGTTCTGGTGAGAATGCTCTCTCTTTTTTTTTTTTTTTTCAGAAGTCCACCTTCTTGCTGTGTCCTTCCATAGGAGAGACAAGGAGAGAGAGCTTTTATGTTTCTTTTTAACAGGACACTAATCCTATTGGATCAGGGCTCTACCATTTATTCTTAGTCACTCCTATAAAGGTCATATCTTCAAATACAATCATCCTGGGAGGTTAAGCCTTTAACATATGAATTTTGAGGAGACACAACTTAGTCCATAGCAGAGAATTTATCAGTCAGGATAAGGGAGATTATGCTGCAGTAACAAATAGCCACCACCCCCTAATTTCGGTGGGTGACAACAATAAAGTTTATTTCTTGCTCATGCTACATAACTGTGTCTTGATCTACATTGTCTTCACTCTGGGATACAGGCTGAAGGGGCAGCCCTTATCTGGAATATTGGTATTCTTGTGGCAAAGGGAAAGGAGATCCTGGCCAACTGTACCTGAATTAGTTCTCTTTCATTGGCTGGAGCTAGTCATGTGGCCATACCTGAGTTCACCAGAAAGAGGACACATAATCCTCTTACAGTGTAGTGCACTTTAGGGAGGGGCACTGGAAAATTTGGCATAATATGCCAAAAACAGAGAGACTTCAGCTCTAGTGTTAGGTTTTACACTGAGTAGGCTGCTGTGTGGGCAGCTTTCTTACCCTCTCTGAGCCTCAACTTCTCATCTGTGTATATGGCAATACGTGCCTCACAGGGTTGAGAATTAAATGAGATAATGCAATATGAATCTCCTCGCGCAGTTCTTGTGAGGGTCATTATTATAATTTTACTCCTCATAGAATATTGGAAACAATTTTCCTGACTTCCCCCACCCTCCCTTTGCTATTGAGTGGAACTACCATCAATTAAGATGCTTGTGGCAAAAAGACCATCGTAACACTTTATTAATTTCTCTTTCGTCTTCTAGTGCCTTCTCAATGCTTGGTACTCCTCACACCCAAAAATGAAGTACAACTTAAGTGTATTGGTAAAATAATGTTGAGTATTAAGTATTTAAATATCTTTTTCAGACATGTTAAGCAGGTTACATGAAGGGAATCCATGTAATCACAGGGGGTGTTTGTACGTAGTGGTTAGTTTGGGGCCCTGAGTAAGAATCATGAGGTGTTGAATTCTGTCTGTATGACCTTGGGCAAGTCCATGTACTTCCACAAGCTTCAGATTCTTTACCTTCAATTGCTGATAAGGGAAGAGCCTTTCTCCTTTGGTTTATGGAAGATGACATTGCATATGGTGCAAAGTGTATTGAACATAGCTTCATCCTTATAATCACCACCAGCAGCATCACCATAATCACCTTCACCATCCTCCTCCTCCTTGTTCTCAGCATCATCATCACCACCACTTTGATGAACCACTGGGTTCAAAGTCTCTCTGTAGAAACTTTGTAGTGCCCAACATTTAGTAAATGCCTTTTCCACAATGAGAAAGTTGAATTTCAGAATGAATTAACAAGAGGACTATACAGAAAAGTAATGAAAAGGCAGTCATAGGGCTTGGCATCTATATCTTTGGCCTCCTATTTGGGGTCCTTTCTCTCTAACCAAGCTCTGGACATGACACAAACCTCTATATTCCTCAGGTGCGAATGGAATACAAGAAGTGGTTTAGTGGGATCTGGAAAGCAATTGAGACTGAAAGCTTTGACGTATCTCGCTCTACGATCCAAACCAAAATGGTAAGTGAGACCAGCTTCTCTGCAGTGATGTGTACTTGCTAAACCCGACGTCTCCTACAACCAAGAGCTTCCTGGTTCTTGATCTAAAAGAAAAGAGAAATTTCATTAGCTTCCTACATTATGCTGCTGGTTTCTGGTTTTTGAGACCAAAACCAGTGGAGTTCTGCTTGCTTGCTTGCTTTCTCTCTCTCTTTTTCTCTCTTTCCCTTTCTCCCTCCTTCCCTCCCTCCCTTCCTTCTCCCCTCCCTCCCTTTCTTCCTTCATCCCTCCTTCCCTCCTTCCTCCTTCCTTCCCTATCCTCTATCCCTCCTTTATCATCCCTCCTTCCCTCCTTCTTCCCTCCTTCATTCATTCCTTTATTCCTTCCTTCCATCCCTGTCTTTCTCTCTCTCTCTTTCTTTCATCCTCTCTCTCTCTCTTTCTCTCCCTCTCCCAAGTCTTTCCACAAATTTGGATATTCCACAAATAATCCAAATGATAATTTAACAACATTCATTTAACAAATATTTATTGATTATCCAGTACATGCTAGATACTGTATTAGGTGTTGGGGAAACAGCAGTGGACACATTGACAAAAATCCTTGCCCTCACAGGACTGATGTTGGAGTGGGGGGGGAGCTGACAATAAACCCCCAAGTGTAGATTATACAGTACATCACAAAGTGATGTGTGCTATAGAAAAATACAGAGCAGTGAAGAGAAATCAGGATGCATGGGGTGAGGGGAGTTTGGTTTTCAGTAAGGTGGTCACAGTGACAGCCCTTCACAGTCTCTGTCACTACATTCTATTTTAATTCTCTGTGTGATGTGCCTCTCTGTATGATATTTGTCTTAGTCTTAAAAACATTGAAGTATTTGCTTTTGGTCAGCCTCTGCTCCCCTGTAAGTTTCACTGTTGTGGTCACTATTGTTTTCCTTCTACCTAGAGCAATGCCTGGCCCACAAAAGATGTTGAGTGTCTAAATTCCTTGCTTACAGATGAGCAAACAGACTGGGAGAGTCCACATGATTTGCTCAAAGCTACTCAGCTGGGTAGAGGGTTCCAACTTGGGTCTGTTTCTCTCTGAAAGTTGACAGCTTTCCTTAGTTGTCACCCCAGATTGTCAACAATATTGGGACCAGCTTGATAGGACATGCACTCTCATATTAAGGACAATTCTCCTTAGTGGCTGCTGACTATGTCCTATCAGTGTATGCCACAGGTTCACCTCTTGGCTAGAATCAGCAGCGGCCAAAGGATATGTCAACCTGAACTGTGTAAAAGAACTTTCCCAATGCTTGTAGTCCCCCAAAACATGTCACATAGTAGAATCCATAGTGTGGATTCTGGGGTTCGCCAGATTTGAGTTTGTATTTTGACTCTTTCAGATTTTAGGTGGTAGATGATGGGCAAATAATTTAACTTCTCTGAGCCTCAATTCATTCATCGTTGAAATGCCCAATTGATTGAGGAACGAAACAATGTACATGAAAGCACTTTGCTCTACTCTGAACCATGTCAACGCTGCTTTTTATTAATACCAAATTATCAAAAGTCAGCTACATAGAAGGCCCCAAACAGTAATCTTGTCCCCTTATCTTTGGACAACACTTTTCTCTGTAAAAAGCGCATATCCATCCTTACAGTCATTACTGATCCTCTGTAGCATTTAAGTGATTCGTCACTGTTTGAATGGAGCCAACATGCCTGGGTTCAAGTGACAACTCCACCAGTTCCAGGCTGCATCAGCTTACGCTAGCCACTTAATGTCTCTGTGCCTCAGTTTCTTCATCTGTAAATGAGGATGATAATAGTATCTATCTCATCATGAGAAGTAAGTGAGGTCATATGTGCTAAGAGCTCAGGACGCTGCCTGGTCCACAGTAAACACCCTGTAAATGTTTGTGAAAAGATCAAACAAATAAAAAGACCATTGCAGATGGTGTTTGGGGACGGGAGAGGCTGTAAGCCATATATTAGGACCTCTTTACTGAGCTTTTGACCTTAAAGAAATTCTTGCTTGTTCTATCTAGGCACTGCTGGAAGTCCTAGGTAATTTCTGAGGTGTTAATTTCTCTTCAGCTTTTTCTACACATTATTTCCCCCCAAATAGGAGGAACCAACAACATCATCAGAATTCTATCGCAGAAGAGACGCTGCGTCTGTTCAACCACAGCCTCAGACTCTGATCTCTGCTCTTTGGCTAAAACCAGCAAACTGAGCTGCTGTGGACAGCGCCCTCTGGACACATGGATGGGACAAATGCCACCATCTGTCTTTCTCCTGAAAGCAGTCGTGACTCTTTTCCCTATTTTGGCTTCTGTCTCCGTAGAAAGAAAGGGGTGTCGAGAGACTACTGAGACCCCCCTCAAACCCAGAATTGTATATCGTGTGCCATTAAATGCTCAGAGAATTCTTTTTAACAACGAGGGAAATAAGGGGATTTTCATATTCCAGCTAATACTACCTTGCCCAGGATTTATTGGCCAACATCTGGATTCAGCTTGCAGATTTCTCTCTCTGAATTTTTGGCTCCACTTTATACTCCTGAAGATCTTGCATCACTCAACATTTTCATAGTTCAATAACTCCCATATGAATAAATATTAAAAACAGGGTTGTATTCTTGCGTTGTAAAAATACACCTCCATCCCACTCAGGAGGGCGTCCTAAGGAAATGTCTAGTGGTCAGGAGACCAGCACTGTCTTCTTTGCTTGATGACTTTCAAACCTACTCATATACTCAGGTTAATTTTAGTGTGATCTCAAGCACTCGCTTTAGTAGCACATATACTTAATGTCACATCATGTCCTCATGGAAATGCTCCCAAACCAATAGCGGCGGGGGGGGGGGGGGGGTGTCACAGCAGTCCTTTGGCCTTATATATTTAGTTTTAACATTTCTAATTTTGTTTTCAAAGTCATTGGATTTAGTGTGTTTTTCAGCACCAAAATAAATAAATGTATGGCTAACTTTGTTACCAGACAGTATTTTAAAAGCAACTTTAAATAATAACAGCAGGAAATGTAAAAATAGCAGCTGAGACTCGCCGTGATTCATTTGAAGAGATTTCTTGTGCAGTTTTTAAGGCATGAACCAAAGACTGTCCCTTTTTCTGCTTAATCAGCTTAAGTGTCTCTTCCACATGGTGGCGGTGCAAACAGAATGCACGATTCACTCCACTTGCCGGCTTTAAAATTATGTGATTCGTCTCAGGGAGACAAATTGGGGAGATTCACATGGTTTCAAAACGCATGCCTGCGGTGTGACTTTTTATATCCTGCAATTTCAAATATACACGAATAGAACTCGCATGAAATGCAACCTTCCTGGGCAGTTGACAAATCCTTGTGCTTAAGCCCCGCTAATGTCGCTGCTGTTTCTGCATCCAAAACAGTTGCAAAAAGTGAATAAACAAGCCAAATGTTCTAGGCACTTCGGGTTTGGACCTCTCTATTCAATATTTTCACTTCCTCCCAACATCAGGTCTGCTTTCTTTCTCTTATCTGCCTCGCTCACCCCCTTCGCTTTAAGAACTACTGTCTTCATCCTTTGAGAGCCCTTTATTCTTCGAGACCTCAGTGAAATTCCTTACTCTATTACTGTCAGTATGACGTGACTTACCCTATATTTTGTGTGCTATTGCACACATGATACGTGTGTGCTTGTAAATCATTCCTGCCTGGACTATAAACTTCTGGAGGGCAAGAATGATAGATGTTTTAATGATCAATTGCAAGGTGGTAAGTGATAGTTTCCCTGCCTCCACCTAGAACATTAATTCTCAAGCTCCGCACTGTTAACATTTTGGCCTGGATAATTCTTTTTGGGGCAGGAGCTGCTGTGCATTGCAGGATTTGCAGCAGCATCCCTGGCCTCTACCCGCTAGATGCCTGTAACCTCCCCCATCCCACACACACCCACTGTGACCATCAGAAATGTCTCCAGACATTGCCACCTGGGAACAGAAGTGATCTTATTGAGAATTACTGGCTTAGGCATTAGTTCATAGTGAAAAGTCCTTTGTGGTCACCCAGCTGTTCCAGGAAATGAATACTCAATCAGCATGTGGTTATTACGCACATGCTCTGCACTCCAAGGGGGTGGTACGTCTGGGGAACACCTCTTGTCTGGCCAGCTTTCTTTTCTGGGAACTGCCCACCTCACTGTGGCAGAGACTATTCATCAAAACCCACATCTGCTTCTTTGCAACATGTACTTTTGCTTAGAAGGGTCCCCTGCTTGGGTTTGTGCTGCAGAGGAGAGGAAATAAAATTAAGAGACTCCAAGCCGGGGGCTCTTAAGATTTTCTTTTATTGCATCACAGAATACTTTGTGAGTCAGATTTTTAAAAAGTGAGTCTTTTCCCTGCAAAAATACATATAGGCAGTGCATGAATCATGGATGTTCTCAGTTGCAACTGATAGAAATCTAGCTGCTCTGTCTTGCTGCCCAAATGTGGCCTGAAAATCAGCAGCATAGTGACATGCAAATCACTTGGAAATTTGGTACAAATGCAGAATCTTAGGCTCCATCCCAGATCCAGTGAATAGGACCCTTCTTTTTAACATGATCTCCAGGAGATTCTATGCAAGTCAAAGTTTGAGAAACTTGTCGTCTACGGATCTGCATCATCAGCATGGCCTGGGATATTGTTAAAAATGCAAATCTCAGGGGCGCCTGGGTGGCGCAGTCGGTTAAGCGTCCGGCTTCAGCCAGGTCACGATCTCGCGGTCCGTGAGTTCGAGCCCCGCGTCGGGCTCTGGGCTGATGGCTCAGAGCCTGGAGCCTGTTTCCGATTCTGTGTCTCCCTCTCTCTCTGCCCCTCCCCCGTTCATGCTCTGTCTCTCTCTGTCCCAAAAATAAATAAACATTGAAAGAAAAAAAATTTAAAAAAAAAAATGCAAATCTCAGATGTCACCTGAAAATCACCACCAGACACAGAATCCCTACAGTTGGGGGCCCAGGAATCCATGGCTTAACAAACTCTACAGGGGATTCTTTTTTTATGTTTTGAGTTTTTATTTAAATTCTCGTTAGTTAACATGTGGTATAATATTGGGTTCAAGAGTACAACTGAGTGATTCATCACTTACCTGCTACACCCAGTGCTCATTACAAGTGCCCTCCTTAACACCCACCACTCATTTAGCCCATCTTCCGACCTTCCCTCCAGCAACCCCCAGTTTGTTCTCTCAGGGGTTGTCTCCCCTTTTTTCCCCTTTCCCTATGTTCATCTGTTTTGTATCTTAAATTCCACATATGAGTGAGATCTTCTGGTATGTGTTTCCTCTGACTGACTTATGTCACTAAGCATAATACACTCTAGCTCCATCCATGCTGTTGCAAATGGCAATATTCCATTCTTTTTACGGCTGAGTAATATTCCAGTGTGTGTGTGTGTGTGTGTGTGTGTGTGTGTGTGTGTGTGTGTGTGCGTGTGCGCGTGCACGTCTTTTTTATCCATTCATCAGTCGATAGACATTTGGGCTCTTTCCATAATTTGACTATGCCTTTTTTTAATTTATTTAAATCCAAGTTAGTCAACATCTAGTGTAGCAATGATTTCAGCAATAGAATTGAGTGACTCTTCACTTACGTGTAACACCCAGTGCTCATCCCAACAAGTGTCCTCCTTAATGCCCCTTGCCCATTTAGCCCATCCCCTCACCCAACACCCCTGCAGCAACCCTCCATTCTCTGTATTTAAGAGTCTTTTACGGTTTGTCTCCCTCCCTGTTTTGATATTACTTTTGCTTCCCTTCCCTTATGTTCATCTGTTTTGTATTTTAACTTCCACATTTGTGATATTTGTCTTTCTCTAATTTCACTTAGCATAATACCCTCTAGTTCCATCCATGTTTTTGCAATTGGCAAAATTTCACTCTTTTCGATTACCAACTAGTACTCCGTGTGTACCCACACACACACACCACCACCACTGCCACCGCCACATCTTCTTTATCCATTCATCACTCAATGGATTTGGGCTCTTTCCATACTTTGGCTCTCTATTGTTGATAGTGCTGCTATAAACACTGGGGTGCATGTGCCCCTTTGAAACAGCATACCTATATCCTATGAATAAATACTTAGTAGTACAATTGCTGGGTCATAAAGTAGTTCTATTTTTAACTTTTTGAGGAACCTCGACACTGTTTCCCAGAGTGGCTGCACAAGTTTGCATTCCCACCAACAATACAAAAGGGTTCCTCTTTCTCTGCATTCTCACCAACATCTGTTTTTGCCTGAGTTGTTCACATTAGCCATTCTGACAGGTGTGAGGTGGTGTCTCATTGTGGTTTTGATTTGTATTTCCCTGATGGTGACTGATGTTGAGCATTTTTTCATGTGTCTGTTAGCCATCTGGATGTCTTCTTTGGAAAAGTGTCTGTGTCTTTTTCCCATTTCATCCTGGATTATTTGTTTTTTGAGTGTTGAGTTTGATAAGTTGTTTATAAATTTTGGATACTAACCCTTCGTCAGATATGTCATTTGTGAATATCTTCTCCCATCCTATCGGTTGTCTTTTAGTTTTGCTGATTGTTTCCTTCACTGTGCAGAACTTTTCATCTTGATGAAATCCCAATAGTTCATTTTTACTTTTGTTTCCCTTGCCTCTGGAGTCATGTCAAGTAAGAAGTTGCTGCAACTGAGGTCATAAAAGGTTGCTTCCTGTTTTCCCCTCTAGGATTTTGATGGCTTCCTGTCTTACGTTTAGGTCTTTCATCCATTTCATTTTTGTGGTATAAGAAAGTGGTCTAGTTTCATTCTTCTGCATGTTGCTGTCCAGTTTTCCCAGCACCATTTGCTGAAGAGACTGTCTTTATTCCATTGGATATTGTTTTCTGCTCTGTCAAAGATTAGTTGGCCATATGTTTGTGGGTCCATTTCTGGGTTCTCTATTCTGTTCCATTGATCTGTCTGTTTTGTGCCAGTACCATACTGTCTTCATGATTACAGCTTTGTAATACAGCTTTAAATCCAGGATTCTGAGGCCTCCAGCTTTGGTTTGCTTTTTCAGGATTGCTTTGGCTATCCAGTGTCTTTTCTGGTTCCATACAGATTTTAGGATTGTTTGTTCTAGCTCTGTGAAAAATGCTGGTGTTATTTTGATAGGGATTGCATTGAATATGTAGATTGCTTTGGGTAGTATCGACATTTTAACAATATTTGTTCTTCCAACCCAGGAGCATGGAATATTTTTTCAATTTTTTTTGTATCTTCTTCAATTTCTTTCATAAGCTTTCTATAGTTTTCAGCATATAAGTTTTTCACCTCTTTGG